CAGTAGGACGCTAGCTCATTAATCCAGTGTCTCAGTGTTGGAGAATTTTCAGATTTCCAATGTAGCAGAATACATTTTTTCACTAGATGAAGAGACTTTAATCAGAAAACAATCTAATCAGTTTCGTTATTACTTCACATGGAAAAAGTAAACACCTGGAGACCATACGGATAACAAATTCCAATCACATTAATGGTTGTATATAAATCTGCAATCATTCTGGGATAAAGTTCTCTTAATTTTCAAGGACATATTTGGTCGTGATATCCCTGCAAAACCCAGAATGATGTTTTTTACCCAACGTAACATCTCTTCAGAATTTTACTATTGTAAGTAACAAAGCCGTAATGAGGATAAATGTGATCCTCCGAGGACAGATCACGGCTGTATAGATCAGAAGAAATACACTCCATGGAAAAACTGACTGATTCTTTAAGGACTGAAGCGGGCACCCATAGCAAACTATGAACCAAATATCTATCTGTAAGTCAAAACACAGGTCAAAGCCTTAATTTTAACAAAATTCTAAATATTTTACAACTTTAGATTGTGAGGAAACCCTTCAGCCATCAGGCTGTGGTTCCTCTGTGAAACCAGCTCCCAGATTAAATACATAGCTCCCCCAAACCTTCCTTTTTAAAACGACATGAAATATTTCACATTCATGTCAGGTCAGACTGACAGATCTGAGGCAGAGTCCACTGGAAGCAGTCATGCTTCATCCCATTTGCTCCCACACTATTAGTGGACATTTATGGATTAGATCTATAAAGATGCTTAATTAACAAGGAAACGTGGACTGTTATTGACATGAAGTGAGCCGTTGCCCTTTTCAGTTTGCTCTTTTCTCTGGTTTCTGTTTCTCGTACCTTCTGACCTCTCTCTGTTTCCAGAATGACATCACCCCGCTTCATCGAGTTTGTCTGCAACAATGATGATGTGCTCAAGTGTTTCGTTATCAGGTGAGTCAACATGGCTCTTTAACATAAACATTAGAAAGTTTGAATCTCATTTCCTTGTTCTCTCATTTTCCTGATATTTCCGTCTGGACCTCCTCCTTAGAAATCCAAAGATCATCTTTAACCACTTCCACTTTCTCCTTGAATGTCCAGAGCTGATGTCACGCTTCATGCATATCATTAAAGGCCAGGTAAGACATAATCGAATACATATATGACTACCTATTATGTACAAGAGAGAAAGAGAGCTGCCTGGAAAGAGAAAGCCAGCCATCATTAGCCCCACTTCTGCCTACAGAGACAGTGGTACAGCTCAGTTTCTGTAAACAGCTTAAATAATTTTGATGAGCTAATAAAACCGCCCTTTATTTCTGGTGAATAGTTTCTCTTCCTTCCTATAGTGTGTCCTATAGCGTCCCTAAGAATAAGTACAGCAGTACTAGTATTCAAAAGATTTGTCTTTGGAACATTCATCCGACTTCCCACGGTGCAAACCTGCAGACCTGCATCTCTTCTTCTATATCAGCTCTGATTTTCATTTTCTCCATGGCAAAGCCCCAGAGTTCTTCCTGACATCTTTTAGTTCATTATCACCAGTATTTTGTGATTCTCACCCCATTGACGACCCTACCACCCATTCTTGATCCCACATTTATTACCGTATTTCCCGGACTACAAAGCTCACCCGAATATTAGCCGCACAAGCTAAAATCAGGGGAAAATCCTGTTTTGTACATACATTAGC